TCAATACAAGACAAATATGAGCCTGTCATAATTCTTTTCACTGACTTCAGATATTCCTATAATTTACAAAATGACTTCCCATCAGAATACACCTCCATGTTTGTTTACTACATTCAATTAGTCTACTCAATTCTGAAATTTTTATGATGAAACATAATGTTTCAAAACCAAACCATCCTTGATTTTTAAGATGTGGTTGCAAGGAAAAATTCATGCTATAATCTAGACAGTGTTGCGCTATTATATCAGATGAACCTTCCAATATAACCAAGTATTGACTCACACACAAAATCAAATTTTTCCATTGAAGAGTCCTATTTCTAAATGAATCTTGGATTAATGGTTCAGTTCTGGGGATTCATGACTGAAGTCTCTGCTTCTTACTTTGTTATTTGTTATTGGCTATCTTGATTATGTTCTATATAATTTATAAAAATAATCTCTTGTATGTCTCAATATATATGCAAAACTTCAATTAAAATAATGATATCTAGATGACTTGAGACTATTGATTATATCTATAGTTTTATAATAATAATGGGCATGCACATAAAGGATAAAATTGGCATCAGTCCTATTGGACAACTTAAAATTGACTCACAGACTTTGTCAAGCATTCTACTAGACCTTTTAAAAGGAAAGAAAGAACTGGGCTGTTAAGACCTGGCACCGAGGGACATGATGGAACCAGAGCAGGTAAGCAGCTACCCTGGCTTCGGGGGACCAAAGATTTGACCACTTTAATGCTTTCTATTGAAAGATTAATGTTCAAGGCTGGGGGGGGTTGGGTGATGAAATAAAATTTATATTTTAAGGTAGGAAAAGAAAATACTAAACATAAGATTCTCTCCCTGTGTTTGCGTGGACCTCCTCCCTCCCTAATGTGCAGCGTGTGCCTGCATTACACATTAAGCAGAGTTCCTCCAAGATGGGCGTGCCTGCTCAACTATAAATACTGTTTTTTCTTTCTTTTGATGCTACCAATGCAACTTCTTAAAAGAATGGTGTATTTTCCCAGCTACGTAGAGGGTCATGATGACTTGCTCTTCACTTTCTGTGCATTTACCTGGACTATGTATCCTTGGTGAACTTTATATAAAATAACAGTATGTCATTTTGATGTATGATCCTTTGTCTCAAAAATGTATATGACTGTGCCTTCAACTTTAACAGGTGGGACAGTTCTCAGAGCTTTGTCGAGAATCTGCTTCCCACTTATAATCCTGTTTGGCTTGAGTAAAATTCCCTTTTTCCTTCCTATCTTGATAGTTAACTGAATTTTTCTCAACACTCTTCTTAATAACCATATGAGGTGGGATTGGAGTGCATCCAGTCCAGTTCAGAAAAAGTGCAGAGTATATGCTCCTCAGGATGTATGAATATTATAGAACTTTGTGAATTGAGGGGCTACCCTGGTGGCTAAGACGGTAAAGAATCCACCTGCAATGCAGGAGACCTGGGTTGGATTCCTGGGTCAGGAAGATCCCCTGGAGAAGGAAATGGCAACATACTCCAGTATTCTTGCCTGGAGAATTCCAAGGACAGAGGAGCCTGGCCAACTGCAGTCCAAGGGGTCACAAAGAGTTGAACATGAATGAGTGACTCACGGTTTCACTTTCTCCTGAATCAAGGAAGAAACAATGTCACTTTTACCAAGTGTGGAGGGCAAGGTAAATTTGCACCCAAGTGATTCGGTAGCTGAGCCTGCTTCGAAAGGCTGTGCCATTGACAATCCGTGCTGAGCCCAGAAATGTCTTTTGGACAAGGGTTTGCTCCAACAGCTTCTAAAACCAGAAACAATGACACTTCTTTCTAAGGTTACTTAAACTGTAAACTATCAGAAATGTGGGATTTGAGGCCTTCAGAAATACAAATACGAATGACATCTTGGTTTCAAGAACATAGCTCTCTGAATCCTAGGCAATAAAATGCAGTAGGCTGGTGTTTTCTTCTATAGGGCACCCTTTTTAGCCTTTATGTCACTTCTGTGAAAGAGAACGGTTTTCATTTTCTCAGTGGAAGCTAGAAGATAGAGCTATCAAAGGCTACAGGGCACATATGCTGTTTTCACCTGCACAGAGTCAGCTCCCTTCTCAAGACCAGCAAGTCTGGTTGTTTTTTGGGGAGCTCCTCCCTTCCACCATGTGTTTTGGGTGAACCTTCCCCCCACTGCCAGTTCAGGGAGGTGGACTGTGATCTAGGATTAAGCCCATCAGCATACCATCAGCATATACACACCTCTCCCGAGCCCTACCTTCCCAGGCACAGTGACTGGCTTTTGGAAGACCCATGGGTCACCTTTGTTAACAAAAGTCAGGCCTCAGACTTCTTAGCAGCTGTAAGAGAAGATCAACTATTTTCTGCTGAATTTGCCAAAAGGTAAAGACATGCAGCACACAGCATGCACATAGCAGGCATTTCAACTCCACTGGGGAGACTGCAGCTGCTGAGAAGGAAGGAGGGTCTAAATAAAGTGAGGGCTCCTTGGTGATGCCATTGGAACTCCTGGTAGATTGTCCCGAGGGCAACTTCTCTCCTCCCACCTCTCTTGCGTGCATGCTCAGTCACTTCAATCGTGTCCAACTCTTTGTGACTCTATGGATTGTAGCCCACCTGGCTCCTCTGTCCATGGGATTCTCCAGGCAATAATACTGGAGTGGGTTGCCATGTCCTCCTCCAGGGGATCTTCCCGACTCAGGGGTCAAACCCACATCTCTTATGTCTCCTGCATTGGCAGGCGGGTTCTTTAACGCTGAGCCACTGGAGAAGCCTTCCTCCTCTCTTACCTAAGTCCTTTTCAAGATGGATTCTTTTTGTCACTTGAAATCACAAGACTCCATATCAAGGGAAGGACTCAAGGTCAGAACCTGGGCCAGGGCAGGAAGGGGTCTGGATACCAAACCTGTCCCTTCCCATCCCTGAACTACCCATGTTGTTCTCCTTGTCAGTACAGTGGACTCTGGGGCAGATTGCATGTGGAAATTAATAACAAGTATCAGTGTGTTTTGCACAAACATGCATTTGTTTGCTGACAGAGCTAAAATGGAACTGTGGGAGCAAAGAGAATGAATTAGCACATAGCAGGCATTTCAACTCCACTGGGGAGACTGCAGCTGCTGAGAAGGAAGGAGGGTCTAAATAAAGTGAGGGCTCCTTGGTGATGCCATTGGAACTCCTGGTAGATTGTCCCGAGGGCAACTTCTCTCCTCCCACCTCTCTTGCGTGCATGCTCAGTCATTTCAATCGTGTCCAACTCTTTGTGGCTCTATGGATTGTAGCCCACCTGGCTCCTCTGTCCATGGGATTCTCCAGGCAGTAATACTGGAGTGGGTTGCCATGTCCTCCTCCAGGGGATCTTCCTGACTCAGGGGTCAAACCCACATCTCTTATGTCTCCTGCATTGGCAGGCGGGTTCTTTAACGCTGAGCCACTGGAGAAGCCTTCCTCCTCTCTTACCTAAGTCCTTTTCAAGATGGATTCTTTTTGTCACTTGAAATCACAAGACTCCATATCAAGGGAAGGACTCAAGGTCAGAACCTGGGCCAGGGCAGGAAGGGGTCTGGATACCAAACCTGTCCCTTCCCATCCCTGAACTACCCATGTTGTTCTCCTTGTCAGTACAGTGGACTCTGGGGCAGATTGCATGTGGAAATTAATAACAAGTATCAGTGTGTTTTGCACAAACATGCATTTGTTTGCTGACAGAGCTAAAATGGAACTGTGGGAGCAAAGAGAATGAATTAACAGACCAACAAACACTCCTTAGTTCTGTGGGGGCCCTGCCTGTTTTATCTTCATAGACCCTATGAACTGGGTAGTCTCATAGCCTTCCTCACTGATGGGGGACGTCTACCTGGAGAAATGAAATGTGATTTCTTTTTGTCTTGCTGTATCTCACTGTATACTCTGTTCGCTGAGCCCAGGGTAGGACAGGAAGCTGAAAGAAAACCCGAGGAGCCATAGGAACCACAGACATGTTTATTCTCTCCTGACTGGCATGGCAGTCATAGCAGCAGACACTGTATTATCTCATGGCTCACCCAGCAAACGCGGCCATAATGCAGCCAGCAAGGGCGTCTCAGGTGGTGTTTATATAGGGCATTGCGCATGCGCCGTGCTATAAGTGAGCTCAGCCGTTACATAACCATGTATTTACAAACCGGGGGTGAGAGTGAGAGGCCGTGGGCTGAGAGAGCCTGACCACCGCCATCTTGGCTACTTTGTTCTTTCCCTACACTTAACAAATTCCTTTATTGTTGCTGATACACAGTTGATTTATAATATTATGTTGGTTTCAGGTGAAAAATGGCTTCTTAAGCCCCATAGCTAATCTTGGATGAAGGAGGATTTAAAACTAGCTAGGTTCACCTGCCTGCCGGCCCCAGCAGACCCAAGTAGGAATTGCTGAGCAGGAAGGGGCCATCCTTGGGGCTCTCCAAGGGCCCATCAGAGTGTCTGCCAGAGGTAAAATTCTTGATCAAATTTGTTGATCAAATTCACTAAGGAACCCAGACTGTTTGCTACCCACAGCTTTCTGTAATCCTCCATCATGTATACCTTGAAACCCTATATAATGTTCAGCAGGAGGATATTAATCTCATTGCATCTCCGCTAAGTTGTCAATTCCTCTATTTCAGGGAACAGGTGTTCTAGAAAAAACCTTATTAATGAGCCTCATCAGGACACATCTCAGCCTGGAGTGCTGATAGCTGTGCATCAAGAGAGATGGAGCAGAGAAAGGCTGGGAAGCAGGGCCTGATGTGAAGGTTCCCCCTCACCTGCTGGTGCTGACCTCAGGCCTGGCCCACAGCCCCTCCCCTCTCATGTCCCAGAAGCAGCTGCAAAGGACATGGTGATATCATTAGGGTCAAGGAGGAGTCAAGGTCCCGGTCCTGATGATGAACTTGTCAAAAGCTCCATTTCCACAATCCTTGGTCTGGTCCTGCTCAGATCCCACCACGAGGTTGACATCTAGCTCCCTGCAGGCATGAGACACTTACCCCTCGAGTCAGAGGTGCTTAGGGTCCCAGTGACACAGACTCTCAGATCCTCCCTGTGTTTCCCTGTGACCAGCACATGGGCCCTGCAGGGGCCTGGGAAAGAGCAAAAAGGCTCCATTGTGATGTAGAGGGACTGAGGTCCCCAAGCAGTTTCATTCCCAGTTGTGAAGCACAGCTCTTTCTTAAGACAGTAGGTGATTATTAACCTTTCCTCAGTCCCCTGGCCACAGGAAAGAAATTGCGCTTCACCCACATCAGCAATTCAAAGAGAATCCAGACTGTTTTAACACAGAAGCACAAATTCATACGCCTACAAGCAAAGGTGATGCTCAAAATCATTTACAGCTGCCAAGGCACTGGCACTGAGAGATCAGCCTGAAATCAACACATCCATATTCCAGTGCCCAGAGCCTGGACCACAGAGACCAGAGAAAGTAAATACCAGGATGTGGTTTCCATGGCAACACTGATGCTAAGGAGCACCTGACTGACACGAGAGGCAGCCAGGACTTAGCCTATCATCAGAGTGGAATAAACCCTGTATATTAGGTTGCTTTATTTCTAAGAGAAGTTAAAAATTCATGATTCTTAGGTGAAATTTCCTAATGTGTTGTGTTCAACACTCTTTGGGGAAAAAGAAAAGCCCTGCATCATAGGCTGACAAAGTGCAGGACACTGAAGCCCATTTCTGGATGGCTTTGCCCCAGACCAGTGATGCCGAACTCTGCCCTGTTTGATGTCTATGCTGTTCACCAGCATGGTGGTGTCAGGTAAGGCAAGGTCAAAGGTCATGGCTGACATGCTCCGGACAGTTGCAAACCTGGGCCATCTGGCTGTAGAGTCTGTTTTTGGATCGCTGAGTGATACTGCCTCCCTGAAATGAACTGGGAAGTGATTCCCATTTCACATTCAAAGATAACCTCTGCTGGAAAAAACCTTTGGACACCCCACCCCCACCACTCTACCCTCAGTCTTGCTTCCACACATGACTGCCCCTCCCTCAGAATCCCCCGCCCCGAAAACCTCTCAACCCTGGTCACCTCCCTCTGCGCCACAATTTTCATTCAGACCTTCACCAGCCCCCATCTCTGACCTTGGGCCCAGCAGGTGACCTTGGTGCCTACCTCATGGAGAAAGGCAGAGCCCGGCAGACAGGCCTCCACTAGCTTCTCCCCGCCCCTACTTGCTGGTCATCGCTTTGGGGCCTGGCCCATCCTGTGGGCTGAGGTGTCTCCCTCCCCTGGGCTGCTTGCCCTTCCTATGAGCAGTGCTCCTCCCCTCTAGCTTTTCCTATCAGGCTTCAATACTCTCAAGACTCTCCCGTTAGTAATCGTACTAGTAACCACAGTGATGACAACACTTCCCTGGCAGGTCTTGTAAGGATGTGTCCCCCGCTATTCCCTCTTTGTGACCTGTCCGTCCTTCCCTCAGCCAGGGAAATTTAGTCTCTCCCCCTGCACCCCCAGGACAGCTCTGAGCACAGTCACCAGTGACCACCTTCTTCCTGAAGCCAGTGGGCTTTCAACCTTGCCCATGTGGTTCCCTGGCTAGAAACCCAACTATCATCTGGTCTGACACCCAGTCCTGTGGACCCACCTACTGCTATTTCTCACTCGGTCGTCTTCTCTCCAGTCCTGCTGCGGCCACTTTGCTGGGAGCTGGCACCACCTCTGATCGGGGTCATTGCAACGGCCTCAGCTCATCGCCTTGCTGACACCCACGTGCTTGTGAATCAGCTGGGAACTTGTCCCATGCAGATTCCAATTCAGTACTTCAGGTCAGGGCTGCTCAGGGGCCCAGTTTCAGATCACTGCCCGGTGAGACCAATGCTGCTGGCCCAGGGCACACATCGAGTAGCCAGGTTCTGAGCAGTCTTCCTGCCCACAGCTCCACCCATCCACCACTGTGGTCAGAAAGGTCCTTTCCAGGTGAAGCAGGGTCATGGTCCATCTCTACATAAAAGCCCTCACACTGCCCACAGGTCTCAAGAGGAAGCACCTTCATGGGTTCATCCTGTGGCCCTCCCCACCTCAAAGTGGCTGGTGCGTAGTTAACATCATCCCGTTCCACAGACGCGCCCTGAGCCATCCAGGAACCCCTCCATACTGTTTTCTCTACCTGAAGCTTCACTCCTTCCCTCCACCTGGCCGACTTCTGTGTCCTTTTAGACATCGGCTGATCTCACCTCTTGGGGAAGCCTTTCCTGGACTTTCCACATCATCAGGTACCCTTCGTGTGTGTCCCTTGTGGCATTCAGCACAGAACATGATAGTGGCCATGTTACTTGTTTTCATTAAAAGCAGGCTGTGAATTCCTTAGGAACAAGTTCTAGGCAGAACAGAACACTGTGGGCAGTGGAAAGATCCTGTGGAGGTTTTAAGTAGAAATGAGAAAAGAATTGACACCCTCCCCACCAGACCCCCAGGACACCTCTCATCCTTGCCTTCATTCCTCCTCCCGTCAGACACCCAGCGTGGCGCTCCTTTCCCTGGAGACATGTAAAAGACAGTTTTAGCAGAACATAAAATGGCCCTTTTCCCTAATTAACAGGTGCAGGAGCTTCTTCTGCTACTGTGCCTGCAGGTTTCAGGCTCGACAGCTCAGAGCAATATCCATGATTGCAATAGATGCTGAATATAACAAATTACATCATTTCATACTAGTCACATTTAATCATGCTAAGCTTTCATTACAAAAGTGGACCATTGAGAAGTATTTCTAATAAAGGGGTATTAGATGCATGCAAAGTCTCTGTGCTTTCATTCATGTTTGTGTCATAGTCAATCAACCAACAAGTATTTTTTGAGCTCATACTATGTGCTGGGGGGACGGCAGTGAGCAAAGAAGATCAGGCGTCTGATTTGTGAGGTACACATCATAGCTAGGGTGGGAGACAGAATCATTTGATGACTGATTGTTCCCGGATGCCCAAGGCACCAGATCACCCATCCTGCCTGGGGGCTGGTGCTGCCACAGGGATGCCACTGCTCTGAGACCTTGTCACCCATGATCGCCCATGATGGCCCATGTGATTCCCCACCCCCTATCAGTGGCAGCATCTCCTGCCCACAGAGATGATCAAATACCTCTCAGGCCTCAGTGAAGGATGTACATCTTCAGGGCTTATGCGGGTGGTAGTGAGGAGTGTGGGACATGTCATTTCTTGTGATAAAAGTACTGTAACAATCCAATCTGCCCAAGCCTTGGGATTCTGTGTGTGCAAATGACCACACTTAGCAGTACAAAGAGATGCACATTTGTCATCTCAATTGCTGCAGGTGTGAATCCTGGCACAGCATGGCTGAGTTCTCTGCTCCATGTCTCATAAGGTATAAGTCAAGGTACTGTCAGCATTATTCTCATCTGAGGGATAGACTGGGGAAGGAGCCACTTAGGGTTGTTGGCAGAATCTTTTTCTTTTTGGCTGTTGAACTCACACAAGCTGGATTTAGTAAAGGCAAAGGAACCAGAGATCAAACTGCTAACATACTTCTGCTTTATTGACTACGCCAAAGCATTTGACTGTGTGGATCACAACAAACTGGAAAATTCTTAAAGAGACAGGAATACCAGACCTCCTGACCTACCTCCTGAGAAATCTGTATGCAGGTCAGGAAGCAACAGTTAGAACTGGACTTGGAACAACAGACCGGTTCCAAATTGGGAAAGGAGAATGCCAAAGCTATATATTGTCACACTACTTATTTAACTTATATGCAGAGTACATCATGAGAAATGATGGACTGAATGAAGCACAAGCTGGAATCAAGATTGCTGGGGGAAATATCAGTAACTCAGATATGCAGATGACACCATCCTTATGGCAGAAAGTGAAGNGAAGCTGATACTCCAATACTTTGGCCACCTGATGTGGAGAACTGACTCATTGGAAAAGACCCTGATGCTGGGAAAGATTGAAGGCAGGAGGGAAGGGGACGACAGAGGATGAGATGGCTGGATGGCATCACTGACTCAATGGACATGAGTTTGAGTAAGCTCTGGGAGTTAGTGGTGGACTGGGAGGCCTGGCATGCTGCAGTCCATGGGTTTGCAAAGAGTTGGACATGACTGAGTGGCTGAACTGAACTGTGGAATTCACAGCATCTTATTTTTTCAAATCCAGCAATAGAGATGGTTGCTTTGAAATTGACTTGGGAAAGACCTGGACCCTTTGTTTTTTTTTTTAACAGCTCTCACTTTATTATTTTCTCCTGAGTATTTTGTGGCTGCCTGGGCTCAGCGAGATGGTCCTCACTCAAGGTCAGTCATGCAGTTGTGATCAGACTGCAACTGAGTGACAGTCTTCCTGGAGATGTCCTCAGGTTCATGTCTGATGGTCAGTGCTGGGGTGTTGGCTGGGGTCCCTACATGTGACCTGTCCTATACCTGGATTTCTGCATGATATGGAGGCTCAGTGAGTTCCAAGAGTAGTTGGACTCTTCTTTAAAGAGTTCACCTAATTAGACCAAGCCTGCTCAGGATCACCTCCATTTTGATGAACTCAAAGCCAACTTATTAGCAACCTTAATTGTATCTGACACATCCCTCCTTTGAGAAAAACTGAATCTAATCCCAGGAGTGACATTCTACCATATTCACAAGTCTTCCCCCTAGAGGTGTGTACACCAGGAGGTGGAAATTTGAGGTACATCTTATTATTCTTCCTAGCATAGATGCAATCCTTCACAGCATCCCAGGGAAGTTTTGGCATCTCAACATTTTTAAATGTAGACCACCATTGAGTCCAGATTTCAGTCAAGCAAACAGGACATGGTTAGAGCCACTTCCACCTACAGGACAATGTGTGTGTGTGTGTGTGTGTGCATGTGCACTCTGTCGCTCAGTTGTGTCTGATTCTTTGTGACCCCATGGACTGTAATGCGTCAGGCTCCTGTGTTCATGGGATTCTCCAGGCAAGAATACTGGAGCAGGTTGCCATTTCCTGCTCCAGTGGATCTTCTCCACCCAGGGATTGAACCCAAGTCTCTTGCCTCTCCTGCCTTGGCAGGCAAATTCTTTACAACTGTACTCTCTGGGAAGCTTCCCCCAAATTCTGAACCCTNCATACATTGACATGAATCAGCCATG